TCGTGCATTCCAATTAAGCTCACGTGTTTCAAAAAGAAAAAACGCTTATGGAAATCTGTGATGAGAATATATATTAGACATTTTTCTTACCATGGTGCAGCCTCTTTCTATACAGAGATCAAACTAATATGATTGCTTTTCCTCATTTTATTAATCGAGCATAAGGTTAGATATTTTTTGAGTTATCAAGCAATATACTAATGCATGTCTCACATACCCATAATAACACTTTTTAATATTGATAGATACTTATGCATAGCTCAAATATCCATGATGACACATTTTAATATAGGTTTTCTTTCTCATTGGGATTGTGTCAACTTCTCCAGGAACTTCTCTCATCTCACTCTCATACTTCATCTAAGATTTGCTCATTTGTATCCTTTGCTTGGCCAACAAATTTGGATAGTCATCTATACAACCATCACGCCTCTGATTGTTGAAAGTAGAGTGAATTCTCATTTATTTCTGTCATCGATGAGTCTACTGAATATATGAGAGTAGTTAATGTTGTTCCTTTTCATCGCTTCCTCATTGAATATATCCGATTCAGTTTATATTTGTCTCGATCTGATTAATGAAGCATCCCAGCAATAAATGGTGTTGATCCTTTTCCCGTTTTTGTCTTCACTATGCAGCAATGCCTCCAAGAATAAGAAAAGCTCAATATCAGACTTTAACACGTAAGAGAGCTCGAGTTGAAATTCCCAAGCAGACATCGGAGAATCTTATAACTCCTTCAGCAATGTTTGGAGATACAGCTACCGTGACTCAGAACACCATGCAGGGGTCATTGGAGAATCTTCATCAAGTTTCGCCATCACCAGCAGGTGATGAGTTCAATATTATCCTATCTCTGCTGTTTGAAGTATGGAATACCCATGGGCATATCATGCGTTACTAATTTTCGTTCATATCGAGCGCTTACTATAGTATACTCTTATGTTTGTTGTGCACATATCAGGTCCATCACGGTCAAGGAAATCGCGCCATCAGACTATGAAACAATTGGGATCCAGAGATATAACTCGACCCATTTTTTATCAGGAACAGGGGGGCCTGATATGGGGGCTGAATGTAACGAAAAAAACGGTCGAGCAACACAGGCCAACCTTCAGAAAACTGATCATTTAAGCCGGTGGAGGTCAGACGAAACTCTATCCTATAGTAGGCATATTCCCACAGCTAGAAAGCCACTACATAATGATATTCTGAGGATAGGTCAGCCAGAATGTGTCTGTAAATACTGTGGTGCTTTGTTTTGGGATATGGAGAGACTCGAACGCCGTCGAGCAACAACTAATCCAATTTATGGATTGTGTTGTCAAAAAGGTCGTGTTGGTTTGCCGCTTATAGTACAACCTCCACATTTGTTAGTTGAACTTCTGCGTTTTGATGGTGGCTCTATGTCGAAGCATTTCAGGGATAACATTAGACCGTACAATGGTTCATTGTGCTTCACATCATTTGGCGCTTCTATTGACCCTCGCTCTCTCTCTGGAAGGGGGCCCTATTCAATGGTTATATGTGGAGAAAATTATCATAGGATTGGTTCATTGTTTCCTCCTGATGGTGAAAAATCAAAGTTTGCCCAGCTCTATATTTTTGAACCAGAGAATGAGATTGACAACCGTTTGGCAAACTTAGCTTCCCGTGATGGTCTACTTATGCCAGAATTGCTCACTTTATTACTCCAAATGTTGGATCAGCACAACCAACTTGTCAAAACATTTAGGCGGGTTCGGCAGCAGCTGCAAGATTCTACAACACAAATTTAAAGCTTCGAATTTTCGGAGCTAAGAGCATAAATCGACAGTATGACTTGCCTAGCAGCACCGAAATGCGGCACTTATACCGGGCGATTTTATTCCGGACAGAGAGGATCGAGATATCATAGTTGATCACATATATGAAGGTTTGAAGAGAATTACAAGTATCAATCCAAAATTTGATGCATTGCATTTCCCGCTCTTATTTCCATATGGAGAGGATGGTTATCATCCACTTATCAAGTACAGGTCAGATTTCTGCCCTCCTTCTATGCGCCGACAGTTTGTTACTCAACGTGAGTATTACACATTTAGGCTCCAATATCACATCAATGAAGGCCATACAATTGTTCAGGCTGGAAAAGCTCTTCAGCACTTTTGCATTGACGCCTATTCATCAATAGAGTTAAATAGGTTGGCTTTTTTGCGCTACCATCAGCCACAACTTAGAGCTGAGGTTTATCAAGGCTTGCAAGATGCAATGGGGCGGGGTGATCTTGACGGGGATAGAGTGGGTCATGTTGTGCTTCCAGGGACTTACATTGGTTGCCCACGGTATATGCAACAACTATATCACGATGCAATGGCGGTGGTCGAATTCTATGGAAATCCAGATCTATTTATTACATTTATGTGTAATTCATTGTGGGAAGAAATCACAGAAGCTTTTCATGACATTGTTGGCCCGAATAGTTAGGACAAACCAATGGTGGTTTCAAGGGTTTTCCACATTAAGCTGAGCATTCTCATCGACAACATTAAGAAAAACTCCTACTTTGGGAAGACAATTGCAAGTAAGATCAGTCTCGTCATTTAATATAGTTTGGTCAACGTTAGCAATTGTTTACTTTTCAATACACATATTTGGATACCTCCCTTCTTAACAAGTTTTGCTTTGCACCAGTAATGTATACAGTGGAGTTCCAATAAAAAGGTTTACCCCACATACACTTGCTGGTTTGGCTGGCTGAGGAGAATAAACTGAGGACAACAACTGATATTGACGAGATCATCTCAGCCGAAATTCCTGATCCTCAAGAAGATCCAGTTGGATATGAGGCTGTTTGCAAATATATGTTACATGGCCCATGTGGCGAAGCAAATACAAATGCACCGTGCATGCGAGACAAAAAACGATCCTAAAATAAAAGATGTTCCAAACAATTCCCAAAGGAGTTTAACTCAGCCATGTCATTTGACAAGTTCGGAAATGTCGTCTATAGAAGATCAAACTCTGGCATAGAGGTTCAAAAGGGAAGTTCAGTCCTCGACAATCGACATGTTGTTCAATACAACAGAAATTTGTTAGTGAGAATGCAGGCTCATGTCAATGTTGAGGTATGTCATAAAGGCAAAATTATTAAATATCTTTTCAAATATGTGACAAAAGGGCCGGACAGATCATTAGTGATTGCTGAAAATGCTGATGCACCCCACAGTAATGTAGAAGTGCAACCTGTGAGATACAGAGATGAAATTCAACAATTCATTGACTGCCGATCGTTGTCATCTTATGAAGCTATATGGAGGCTGAATGAATATCCAATACATGTAAGAGAACCAGCAGTTGTGCGCTTGGGAGTTCATTTGGATGGGCAACAAAAAATACCTTATAAGAAGCAGTCCAATGTTCGGAATATTCTGGGGAATCCTTATGCCGGTAGGACACACTTAACAGAATGGTTTGCGCTTAATCGTAGGGATCCCCAGGCAAGAATTCTGACATATGCACAGATACCAAACAACTACACCTGGTTACCTGACTGTAAAGAGTGGAGTCCTCGCAAAAAAGGATTTGCAATAGGCAGAATTGCATACGTTCCATCAGGTTCTGGCGATGTTTTTTTCCTCCGAATGCTGCTCACTAAAGTTCGCGGCGCTGTCAGTTATGCTCATCTGAGAACTGTCAATGGAGAACTTTGTGCAGATTTTGAAAAATCTTGTGAAAAATTGGGCCTCTTATCAGACTCTTCAGAATGGATACGAGTGCTAGCTGATATCTCATCTTCTAGCATGCCACGAGTAATTCGAAGCACTTTCGTGTCAATGCTTATGTTCTGTGAAATACCTAGCCCGATGACATTGTTCAATTATTCTTGTAAATCTATGTCTGAAGATTATGCATACAGTTTAGTCAAGGATCTCAGGGATCAAACTCTGAGGCCCAGCGACGAGCGATTACAGAACTGGGTTCTACATCAACTACGGGCTATGTTGAGCTCACACTCAATGACTCTTGAGGACTTTAATCTTCCACTCCCATCCGATGGTCGATGCGATAATGGCGAGAATCCACTCATTAACGAGCATCTTGCGGTCGATACAGACCAACAACATGCATTAGCCACCACTATGTTGAAATCTCTGAATTTTGAGCAAACCAATGTATATTTAGCAGTTATTAACTCAGTGCACAACAAGATGGGTCGTGCTTTCTTCCTATATGGTCACGGAGGTACAGGCAAAACGTATCTCTATAATGTAATTACAACAAGGCTTAGGAGTTTGGGGAAGATAATTGTTCTGGTTGCATCATCGGGGATTGCAGCAACACTTCTTCCCAAAGCAACCACAGCACATTCAAGATTCAAAATTCCTCTTATTCTGGATGCAACGTCAACATGTCCAATTAAACACGGAACACACTTGGCTGATCTGCTAAAAGAAGCATCCTTAATCATATGGGATGAGGCGCCTATGACACATCGAAGAGCTTTTGAAGCAGTAGATCGAAGTTTGTGCGATATATTAAATGTTCCACTGCATGGTGATCGTTATAAACCTTTTGGAGGAAAGACGATCCTTTTTGGTGGAGATTTTCGCCAAACTCTTTCGGTTATCACCGAGGCTGGACGTGAACAAACAGTTGATAGCTCGTTGACTAGGTCCAAACTATGGAGTTATTTTAAAGTAATGCAGCTATCTACAAACATGCGAATCACAACAATCCAACCTGCTGACCAGCATCTTATACATGGATACACATTTCCAGAATGGGTCCTTGATTTAGGAGATGGAAAAATTAAAGCAAGATCATTCAGAGAAGATGCCCCAATGGATTGGATACAGATTTCACAGCTGTTCCTGATTGATCCCGGAGATGATCCTGTTGACTCAATTGCAGATAATAAATATGATTCGTTTCCTCATAATCATAGGCACCCACCATATCTCACCAGCAGAGCCATAGTCACTCCAACCAATGCAACTGTCTCTACAATTAATAACTACATGCTTCGCCGTGTTCCAGGCAACTCGACAACCTATTACAGCTCAGACTCACTATTGCTATCGACAGAAACAGCGGATTCGTTCGACGAAAGCTATCCAACTGAGTTTCTCAACACTCTTACATTCAACAGAGTGCCAGACCATGAGCTCACAATAAAGGTAAACACACCAGTTATGCTCCTACGCAACTTGAATCCTGGACTTGGTTTATGCAACGGCACAAGAATCATGATCACATCATTGGGAGACAATTATATAAAAGGCAACATTATGGGCGGTTCTCATGACACTGATGAGGTCATTATACCAAGAATAGTGTTGAATGTGGAGAACTCCAAGTGGCCCTTTATACTCAAAAGGAGGCAATTCCCAGTACGATTATGCTATGCAATGACTATAAACAAAAGTCAAGGACAAACGCTTGAAAAAGTTGGGATATATTTGTCTGAACCAGTATTTAGCCATGGCCAACTCTATGTGGGAGTTTCAAGAGTAAAATCAGCGAGAAGTTTGAGGATTCTTATAGAAAACCCAACAGATATCCCCCATGACTTTACAAGAAACATAGTCTTCACTGAAGCATTTGCTAATATTGTGCATACCTAAACTGCATATCAGGTAATTCCACTAAACCTATTAAACTCATGAATGTTTATATCAGTAAATATGCCTGAAAGAAGTGATTTTTTCTCTTGCAGGATCGAAGAAATTCTGTGATGCACTCATGTTGACAATAATCTACCCGGCGCTTACTGTACTTTGTTAGTCTAGAAGGCTCTAATGTTTGTATCTTAACAACTCGGAGAGGTGAATGTTTTGTCTTGAATCATGCATCAAGTCACAAATGATCAAGAACTACATTCACCTTTACTTTTGGCGATAAGTTCTTCAAACATATACAATAGTCAATATCATAGATGATATCTAAGTTATTAGAACTGTGTCCATCAAAATTTTAGATAGAAAATTCGATTATGTATAAATTACCTTGCCTGGACCTCAATCCACAAACCTGCAGGCCAATAAGAAGCTAAAATAAGAAAATATACATGCCCATTGTTTAAGCCCATAATATAGTGGCCCATATAAACCCTAACCTACCACAACCCACAAAACAAATTATTCACCATCAACTACAAATTGAGGTCTCTTTCTGCATTTTGATGATAATGCAGTACATTTAAGCCCAACCCAAATGGTGCTTTAGGGCTGCAAATAAAAGCCCATTGGAAACCCGTCCAAAATGAACACTCCCCTTTAAAACCCTATCTTCCCTCACCAACCTAACCCGTCGTCCACATCTTCATCAACCCTTCCCCACCGTGAAAGCCCCACCACAGAGACTACTAGACAAGCTTTAGGACAAAGGTAAGTCCACGTCTCCGTCTTCTTCACGGCTTTTACACCTGAAAAACTACTTCTGATCGAAACTTGAATTGCCTGCACAGAGACCCCACCCAACATGGAGAGTCTACCCAAAAACCACCAGTCAACAGAGAGCGGTCACATGGTCCCCACCGATGACAAAGGTCAATACCTTCAATTTTTGTTAAAAAAATCCTCCCAAGAATCTCGAATCCTCTGCAAGAAAGATAAAATATCCATTTCGGGGGTTGCGTTTGGGCACAAACATTCGCACAGTTATTGCACGGCCTGTGATTGCGTGGCTTGAATTCCGAGAGGCACACAGGCTATAAAATCTCAGCATGCACATGATTTGGATAGACAAGAAGGTTTATTTACGATTCAGTTACAAGATTGCACAATCCTTTCATAACTGATTTTAAACCAGTGTACTATACGGTTTGAACTCGCTAAACTATTTTTCTTATAGGCACAATTGATCGAGTCAATGGTTGATGAAAAAGAAATCACCGAGATTTCTCGCAAGATAAAGGTCGGAAACCTTTATCAGTTTGATTCGGTGGTGGCTGTACCAACAAGAGAGAATCCAAAGATCGTTCTAGGAGAGTTAAGGGTACACATAACTCCCGAACAAAACATTTCCAGGATTGAAGAGGACCCTGATGACCCTACGCTTACCTATCGGTTGGGACATTGGGATGGCTTTTTCTATAGTACCATTGACTATCATACAGGTACATTTGACTATCTCTGTTCGCCATACTAAAATAAACCTAAACTTTATAATGACAAACTTTTCTGTCAACCACATATATTACTGTATGCATTAGGCGTCTCAGTGTTCCCACAACAATTCGTGGTACTCTCCGAGAATTTTACATGGTCGTACAGGATGTGAGGTACATTCTATAGAATAATATGTTAATTTGTGAATTATATCAATCATCAACCTCACATATTTCTGCCCCAAACAGTGGCGCTAAGGCAACTGTTCAGTATCGAGGATATGATGTATTAAAGTTCTTAGAGAATGCGCCGACAGCTGAGGCTCATTTGCCTCTCATTGTTACAATCAAATCTGTCACTCGAGTGCCACCTCTACCCAGCCAGAAGTATAAGTACCGTTTTGAATCCACTCCTGCCAGTGAGTTGATAATCAGATCTTACACAGCTTCAGTCAAGGAAATTATGCACATGTACATTTCTCTTTGAACAAATGCTATTCATTCCTCGAATCATATATACTACCAATCAACTAGAACAAAAAATAACACTTTTTATTTTTTTTTCTACAACCAGCTTCCTTTACAGTCGCAGACAAGTTTACTACATGGACGCCAACAGCAATAAGAAAACAGGCTGCCTTCGACCAGGAATTGAATAGAAAACACTTGCCGACATCAAAGCTATGCTTGCATCTGATCAGAGCTGCCACAAGGTTTGTTAGGGACAAAATGTTTCACAAACGCCTACATTCTGCACTTACATTTTACATTCAGACATATCTAATCAACATGTGCCATTCATATTAGGTACTTTACCGTGCCAAGTTCCACATATCACAGTGGAAATTTCGAAAAAGCATCTATCGAACAACTGAGGAATGGCCAGAGTAAGTTTTCAGTTTCAATATGAACACTACATCTAATGTTTGCTAATCTAGTTACGAATAAGCTAACACAATTTTTCACTTACATAAATAACTAGCTTGCACTATCAACTGGAAGTCAAATGCGAACAAGGATCTGATGATATTGATGTCATACTGGACCATGAGGCAACTCTCTCAATAATCGGCAAGTCACCCAACAAATACAACAAACTCGATGCGGAATCGGCCAAGGCATTGTTGGTCAAAAAGTGTAGCAGAATGTTTGCAGGTGAGCTGTACATCGGTTCCTCAGATTTGAAGAACAGAACTTCATCAGTCGTACCTCACATAAGAGTTGCAACACTTTGGCATACCTCAAGAATGGACAAGTGATCATCAACTTCAATGACGGAAAGACTTCCTGATGCATCCTATCTACCTCTATTATCCTCCTTCCTAAACTAGGATTCCTTCTCCAGCTTCGATGGAGACAAAACAATGTTCAGATTTGATTTTGTAGTTTGCGCAGACTTTTGGATTTGACAAGGTTATTATGCACTGCCTTTTGTTTATTTGCCTTGATAAAGATTATTAAGCAACAATGATGGTTGGGGTAGTGTTTCATAATCCATAAAACTACTAAAGTCAAATTTATCCCGCCGCGAAGCGCGGGCTGATTACTAGTAATATTTTAGGTGTAAACAATGCCCCACAATTTGGTTTATAAGAATTATCAACCAAATTGTTGACATAGTCCAAAACACCTAAAATAACTTTTAAAACCACGCATGCTAAATCCATATCAAAATTGCAATCACAAGCTACGAATTTGCTTTAGAGCATTGCTGAATTGAGTTTAGGAAACGAGTGATTGCCAATGCTAATAATAATAATATTATTTTTTTTCTCTCTTTGTTTTCTAGCCTTCAACGTTACGGCAAGCACCAGAGCTGTTTAAGTCATCTACTTGCTTGCAACACTGTTCTAAAACTAAGCCGCGAAGAATTTGTCCATAACAATCTTGCAGATGCACCAACACGGCGGTGTTTCTTTTCCCCAAATGAGGCCGCAATGCTGCTTAGACTTAAATGTGTTTCGGCCTAAATTTTCTGGGTTGTGAAAGTTATTAATAAACCTGCGCCCATCAACTAATACGGGGTAGTTTGCTGTCCTTGAAGGGCAAGGGCTAGTAGAAGCCCGACTGCAACACCTTCCGCTTCGTGCGGTTTTCTCCTTGATGACCACCCGTAGGTCCTTTATGGCATTGAGACAGGATGCCTACCATATCATGCTCCATCATACATCTCCGGATGACGCCATCTGCTCCAATCCTCAAGAAGTAAGGATCCTTCCAAAAAATAATGCTTCAGTTCAGAGAAGAACTTCCGCTTGGAGTTCGCGGCCATCCCCTTAGGCAACTGTTTTCCCACCTGATAATTGGCAAAATCAGAGTACCAAGGGGTGACACTCTCCACCAAGCACAGTGCCAACAATCGCTCGCCCGGGAAGGATTCATTGATCTCCTCCACGAAGTTGTTCACCAAAGGGGATTCTGACCGTGAAAGATGATTTGCAGCAATGTTTTATGCTCCTTTATTGTCCTGGATCTCGATGTCAATCTCCTACTACAGTAGGATCTAGCAGATGAGTCTAGGCTTAGAATCAGCCTTGGTCATCAAGTAAAGAATGGCAGAGTGTTCTATGTAGACCACCACATGAGACAGCTCCAGGTAGGGTCAGAACTTATCGAAGGCATAGACCACCGCAAACAGCTCCTTCTCTGTGGTGGTGTAATTCTCATGTGCATCGTTCAAGGTCTTCGACGCATAATAGATAGGCTGGAAATGTTTGTTGCGTCTCTGACCCTAAACGAATCCGACTGTATTGTCACTTGTGTCGCACATCAACTCAAATGTAAGAGACCAATCTGGAGTCACCATGATGGGTGCATGGGTAAGCTTTTCCTTCAAGGTCTCAAATGTCGATGTGCACTCTCGAGTGAAGTGAAATGGCGCATCCTTCTTGAGAAACTTGGTTAAGGGAAAGGAAATCCTAGAGAAATCCTTGATGAATCTCCTATAGAAGTCTGCATGACCCAGAAAGTTGCGGATCCCCTTCACAAAAATAGGAGGAGGCAGCTTGCTGATTGTCTCAAGCTTCACCCGATCTACCACAATCCCTTTCCTAGAGATCGTGTTCCCAAGCACAATCCCTTCGTGAAGCATGAAATGACACATCTCCTGGCTGAGTGCAAAATTCGTCTTCTCACACCTCTTGAGGACAAGTTCCAGGTTATGGAGACAATGAGAGAAGGATTCTCCATAAACCGAGAAGTCATCCATGAATACTTCCATGATCTCTCCAACCAGTCGGTCGAACATCGCCATCATAAACTGTTGGAAAGTCATCGGTGCATTGCAGAGACCGAAGGAATACGCCGATGAGCAAAGGTTCCGAAAGGGCAGGTGAAGGTTGTCTTCGCCTGATCCTTCGCTGCAATTGGGATGTGGAAGTACCCAGACATGCCATCCAGGAAATAGAAGAACTCGTGTCCCACCAACCTCTCTCGCATCTAATCAATGAATGAAAGCAGGAAATGGTCCTTCCTGGTGGCCTTGTTCAACCAGCGGTAGTCAATGCAGACATGCCA